GCGCGCGCGTGTGTGCATGCACCATCCATTTCATAATCATTATGCACATAAAGTTGGCACATTCCCTCTTTTCTCAGAATGAACAACGGGCCTCCCTGGCCCGCCTCTTCCCTTCCCTCTTCAAAATGGGTGGAGAGGCAGCTTTCTCCCCTTGCCCTTCCTGGAGACCCAGATGTCCTCGCGTCGCCTTACCTCCCCAACCCCCTCTATGATCCCCTAAGACCAGTAGGCCTCTAGAAGACAAAATCCAAATAACTTACCCCGCACGTGTCCCCCAAGGCAACGTGCACAAAGCCGAAGGTCAGCTTGGATGGGAACAAAGGAAGAGGGGCAAAGGGAAAGAAAAGGTGACGTTCTCAATTCCTGTCTACCAGTGTCATCTCAGCACCCAAAGTGGTTCATATAAACTGTGCCCAGGGGACAGTTCTGTAAAGACTGGTCTTTAGATCACTTGGTAGGGGATCACCAGGCTCTTATTTAAAATGCAGCCATCATGGGGCGCCTGGGTGGCTCAGTCGTTAAGCGTCGGCCTTCGACTCAGGTCATGGTCCCAGGGTCCTGGGATCGAGCCCCACATCGGGCTCCCTGCTCGGCGGGAAGCCCGCTTCTCCCTCTCCCACTCCCCCTGCTTGTGTTCCCTCTCTCGCTGTCTCTCTCTCTCTGTCAAATAAATAAATAAAATCTTAAAAAAAAAAAATGCAGCCATCAGGGGCACCTGGGTGGCTCAGATGGTTAAGCGTCTGCCCTCAGCTCAGGTCATGGTCCCAGGGTCCTGGGATCGAGTCCCGCGTCGGGCTCCCTGCTGGGTGGGGAGGCTGCTTCTCCCTCTGCCTCTGCCTCTCTCTCTCTCTCTCTCTGACTCTCATGAATAAATAAATAAAACAAAAACTAAACTAAAATAAAATGCAGCCATCAGGACTCAAATGTATGGACCCAGGAGCTCCGGGGCCGGGCCCCCGAAGCCAATGAAGTTTGGGGACCACTCAGGAGAGCACGGGTTTTCAAGGTGTGGTTCCCGGCCCAGCAGCATCAGCATCCCGTGGGCCCGGCTTGTTAGAGATGCAAATTCTCGGGCTCAGCTCCAGACGCTACTGAATCAGAAACTGGCGTGGGATCCACCAGCACTGAGTTTTAATCAGGCCCTCAGGTGACTCTGATGCGTGCTCCAGTCTGAGAACAGGGTGTCAGAGAGTAGTTATCCTAAAGCCGCCGTTCTCAACTTTGCCTGCGTCCTGGAACCACCTGTAAGCTTTCACAACCACAAGGCCTGGCCATCCCCCAGACCAGTTCAACCAGAGTCTGCGTACGTGGGGCCCAGGCATATGGGGATTTTTAAAGCTCCCTGGGTAATTTCAAGGTGCAACCAAGGTTAAGAACCTACTAGGACAGGTGGGTGAGTCGATATCTAAATCTCTGTGACTGTCTCACAATAAATATGTCCTCCCTGCTGAGATACCCTGGTATTATCCCCAGCCTGAGAATCTCTGCGGTTACAAACCTTGCGATTCATGGGACAGAGTCATCTCCCACCTGTGTGTTTGCGTGGACTAAAGGCTTAAACGTAGGAACCGAAACCGTAAAACTCCTTAAAGGAAACATAGGGGGAAGGCTCTTTGACATTGGTCTTGACAATGATTTTTTTTTTTTTTTTTTTTTAGCCAAAATCACAGGCAACAAAAACAGAAATCAACAAGTAGGAGCACATCAAATGAAAAAGCTCTGCCCAGCAAAGGAAACCATCAACAAAATGAAAAAGGCAGCCTACAGAAGGGGAGAAAACTTTTGCAAACCACAAGTCTGATTAGGGGTCAACATTTAAAATACAAAGGAACTCGGGCGCCTGGGTGGCTCAGTTGGTTAAGCGACTGCCTTCGGCTCAGGTCATGATCCCGGGATCGAGTCCCGCATCGGGCTCCCTGCTCGGCGGGGAGTCTGCTTCTCCCTCTGACCCTCTTCCCTCTCGTGCTCTCTATCTCTCATTCTCTCTCTCTCAAATAAATAAATAAGATCTTTAAAAATACAATAAAATACAAAGGAACTCGTAGAGCTCAACAGCAAAAAACAAAACAAAACAAAAAACAAGCAAAAACCCCACAACACAACAAAACAAAAAACCCACTTTCAAAAATGGGCAAAGGAACTGAATAGACATGTTTCCAAAGAAGATACACAACAAGCCAACGTATATATGGAGAGGTGCTCAACATCACTAATCACCAGAGAAATGCAAATCAAAATCACAGTGAAGGGGCGCCTGGGTGGCTCAGTCGGTTAAGCGACTGCCTTCGGCTCAGATCATGATCCTGGAGTCCCGGGATCGAGTCCCACATCGGGCTCCCTGCTCAGCAGGAAGTCTGCTTCTCCCTCTGACCCTCTTCCCTCTCCTGCTTTCTATCTCTCATTCTCTCTCTCTCGCTAATAAATAAATAAAATCTTAAAAAAAAAAATAACAAAATCACAGTGAAGGACGGAGACATGTCTTTTTTGGCCTTCACCCCTTCCTGTGCTTCTCACGGCAGACAGAGTGACTTGTCATGTCGGCCACAGTGGGGAAATGGTCTCTGCTCCTGTTTGCTCCTGTCTCCCGGCTCTTCTTCTCTTGGGACCGTCTGCCCATAAGCACAGTGTACCCTGTCTTTGCTTCTGCTGCCCTAAGTTAGCTCTGTATGGCAGGGAGTCCTCACTCTGGATTGAAGGTTTGCATTTCTGTTTCTCGACCTATGCCTGGGTGGGTCAACTCAGCTGAGTCGGGGTATTGGAGGGTCACAAGATGACAAGTCCAAGCTCTGGGCATCACATTTGGCCAATGCTGGATCTGAGCCCCACCTGGCGCCGGTGTGTCTTGCTCAGCTGCCGAGAGATGTAAGTGACCTGGTCCCTCAGACACCAGCAATTCTGAAACCTGCAGACTTTCTGAGTGGAATTCGAAACGGCCAAGTGAGCTTCACCAAGGCTGGGCGTGGTTCAACTTGGGCGACCAGCCCCTCTTAGGGAGAGATTAAACCCTGCACATCACTGTCTCCGAAGAAAGCACTTTATATTTTTGGATATAAACCTTGATATGGTCTCTCTCAAGGAGGCTTTTTGAATGAACTTTCATGAAAACAGGCTGTATCAGGAAAAATGTAAACTCCCATGTGACCGTGAAGACCAATTATACCCAGAGTTAGGGCAAATATCAGAATTCAATTCTGATTCTTACAGATAAAGGACCATCACAGGGTTGGGGCGCCTGGGTGGCTCGGTCGGTGACGCGGCTGCCTTCGGCTCAGGTCATGGTCCCAGGGTCCTGGGATCGAGCCCCGCATCGGGCTCCCTGCTTGGCGGGAAGCCTGCTTCTCCCTCTGCCTCTGCCCCTCCGCCTCCGCCCCTCCCTCTGCTCCTGCTCTTTCTCTCAAATAAATAAATAAATAAATTTAAAAAATCTTTAAAATAGAAAAAAAAGAACCATCACAGGGTTTCGTGCAAACCAACATTTGGCACTACTTCGTATGTTTGGATTTTCTTATTTTTCTTCTTGTAGGATCATAGGAAAAAGCAGAACTGGGGAAATATAGGAACTTGGATCAACAAAAAGGGACTTTCCTCAAATAAATTTTAAGCAGGAAGTGGTCAGCATTCTCATGGTTAGAGAGAAGATTAGGGAAAATAAAAAATTATATTTTAAAAAAGCCTACAGAAATGAGCTCTGGGTATCTGAGACATTTCTGGAAAGTTTGATAGATTTACAGCCAAAGAAAACAAGAGTAGACCAAACAGTGATTGAGAATAGGTAATGAAGGGAAGAGCTAACAAATTGACTGTCATTCCTTACATGAAAAAATTTTAACAGTATATGAATATAGTACATGAAATGTGGAGCATAAACTTTATACATAGCAGAAATGATTAGTAGAAGAAAATTCTCAGATACTGTGTGCTTAAAAAAAAACATTAAAACTATTCACCGTTCAAGAATATAAAGTCGATCATATATCTAAAGTAATAAAATAAAAATAATAATATAAGCTAATATTTATGGAGCGCTTGGTAGATATCACACCCCCTGCTGAGTACTCTTCGTGGACTATATCACTTAGTTTTACAACTAACCCATGTAGAAGTTAGACTTAGCAATTCTAATAACACACATACATACACATAAACACAAATATATACACCCATGCGTATATATGTATGTATATACACACAGAACCGCACGTATATATGAATGGATATGTATACACATATATAGATAAGCATGTGAGCATTCCATCATCTTTGACTTGGTTAACTTTGTGGGAAGCGGGCATGGAGCACCCAAGCATCGTGCCCACCCAGGGACAGTGCTCCTGAACCCACGGGTCAGTAGGATGAAAAGGACCACTAACCCTCAAACTCTCAAGTCTCAGCAGGCTTCAAAGATGCCACTGATGGACCGGTGGGATGAGAGTGGTGGCAGGAGAGAATGGTTAGTGGTTAGATTATTCAGAAATATGAGTGAGGGGTGCTCAGCAAGAGAGGTGGAGTCGGAGAGCCAGGGACATACTAAGAGGGATTCCATTTTTGCTTAAACCACAGTGAAACATTGGGGGCCATCATCTATGAAAGACAGAAATGTGTCATAGGGAAAGAGGGCTGCTCAGGTTTTTCATCTACACCTGCACTTGCAAAGGGAAATGCATGACCCCCCCCCAACTTGAGACACCAAGCCAAAGCAAGGGAAATAAATGCTCAAAACCAAGATTCGTTAATCTATGGTCTTTAACATTGTTTTATATTGTCCTCTCATCAATAAACAACATTTAACATACATCCCTACATATTTCTGTATTAATGCAATGGGTATATGATGAAACAGCCACGAACACACTTTTGAAAGGATGATACCTATTTTTTTTAGTAGACATGTAAAAATTTATTGTTAAATTTGTAATTATAGGAATGATCTATCCAAAGTAACAACAAAATCAATATTCACTTAAAATAGAAATATATAATGCAAATTAAGCTACTACCCATCATATTTTTTGTGTGTGCTTATTATGAAAAATGTCCACTGTTGTTTCATGACATGCTCTTAAATCAAAATCATAATATCCAAGGGAAAAACGACTCTGTGGTTTCTTAAAATAATCAAGTCCTCTTCCAATCTTAATCATCCATCCATTGTTAAACCTAATTTCTCGGTCATGTACTGAAGAAGAATATTCTAATTCCAATAGCACACCGTGATTCTGGAGTGACTCTTTTATTTCTTGCAGGCCACTACTTTGCTGCTGTTTCCCACTACCTACATCCAGAGAGGTGAGAAGATGAATAGTTTTTACTTCACATGGTTTCTTAATAAGCATCTCACAAAATCGAAGAAAGTTATATAGCTGATGAATCTGTCTAATATAAGGATCTTGCATCCAAACTTCTGTAAGTGTTTCATTAAGGTGTTTTTGAAAAAGTGACTCATAACTGAAACCTGTTGCATTCTCTTCTATTTTAATCTGCTTGTGATATTTTCCATCTTCTTTTTCTTGATCCAAGTATTTCTTCACTATTTCTGCTCTATCCATGTAGCCCGTAATTTGTTTTCTGAGATTCCATTTCTTTGTATCATCTTTGGTACCTCTCAGAACCTGCATGAGCAGGTCTATCCCCTCCTGGTAACACACCAGAGCCTGCTGGTACCGGGACTCCGAGTCTAGTTCCACCGCCCGCTTCAGCGCCGTGAATGCAGCCACGCTCTGACCATCCAGCTCCTTCCCGGACTTCGCCATAGTTCCGAAACTCCCCTGCGCCCCAAGCTCCAAGATGATACCTATTTTTATATTTTCTTCCCACACCTCACTTTGGAGACCCAGCCGGGGGTGGCAGGAAATGAACAGCAACAGCCATGAGGTTCTGCTAGGTGGCGCTCTGCACCGTATACATAGAACCACGAATTCGGTCAGATAGTAGGGAAATTATAGCAAAGGCGCCCTTTAAATTGTGAATATAAGGGGCGCCTGGGTGGCTCAGATGGTTAAGCGTCTGCCTTCGGCTCAGGTCATGATCCCGGAGTCCTGGGATCGAGTCCCACATCAGGCTCCCTGCTTCTTGGGAGCCTGCTTCTCCCTCTGCCTCTCTCTCTCTCTCTCTCTCTCTCTCTCTCTCTCGAATAAATAAATAAAATCTTTAAAAAAAAATTGTGAATATAAGCAGCTCTGTCAGGACTTAAGGGACTGTGAATCCAGTTGGCCACTTACCTGTCTCTACCTAAATCTGTCCCCTGTTCTTGTCCAAATTGTCTTCACATTTTAGCCTCCAACAGAGCTGCCAATCCTATGTAAATTATATCCCTCCAAAACAAGTGCCTAGGGGGACCCTAGCAGCCGGGTAGGAGCTCTGAGGGTTAGACACAGAGGGAGAGCCCGCGGGCTTTCCTTGCTGAAGTGACCCCTCAATTAACCGTCCCGGGTGTCCCAGAGGAAGCTTCGGTCCTTCCCAAACTGGGCTCTGCGGACCAGCTGCGCCAGAGGCACCTGGGCTAGTTTTAGAAACGTAGATCCCTGGGCCCCAGGGATCAGGCTCCCCGGTGTGGAGGCCTGGAATCCACATGGTTTCCAAGCGCCGTAGGCGATTCTGGTCCCCAGTACAACTGGAAAACCAATTGAACTGGTGGGACAGAGCTGGGTCCGTTTGGGGTGGGACAATGTCCGTCCTCAGTGACCTTGGGTAGCTGGCTTAACCCCTCTGATCTCACCTGTATCTCTGCGTTAACCCATCATCTTTAAGATGGAGCTCCTAATACTAGCCTCACAGAGGCGATGTGAAGATTTAATGGAGTAAATGAAGCATTTATTTGCATTCACTGCTTAAGAAATGTGAATTCCTTCCTTCCTCCACACCCCATTTCATAACACTGTCCGGGTACCAGTAACTTCATCTTATACTGTTCTTCCTAAGATCCCCCTCACTCCCTCCTTGCCCTGTCATTCCTCTTGGGGGCCTTGCCCTTGGGAATGGGAGCCAAACTCGAGATTGTTTCAGATTCATTCTCTCCATTCAGAACACGTTTCCTGTGTTCTGTCAACTGAGGCGGCCAGCTCTGGGCAGTTGATTATCTCACAGATTAATCCATCATGATGTGTTAATGGAGAAGAGTTGTGTGTTAAAACAATAACTGGCAGGTTATAAACTAGCCGGGTATTTCAGTTCCCGTGGTTCACTCGAAAGGCAACGGAATCGTGGGAAATGCAGACCCAGGACAGGGAGGTGGGGGCTGCAAACCCTTGTACTTAGGGCGACGGAGGCCCGCTTGGCGGGCTCCCATATGGACCTGGCCCTGGGTGGCGGGGGCTTACCCCCCCGTCCCGGGGGTGCTACAGGTCAGGGAACTGGTTCTAATTTCCAAAATAGCCCAAGTACTCTGCTGAGCGGTGTAGTCCCTAGACAATGAGCCTCAGTTACGGGTTCATGGAGGTGTTACTACACTTCTGCTCAAGATGTCGACTCATGCAATTCACCATGATGGAAGCGCCTAGAATCTACAGCCCAGTGCATCCCGTCGGCCCATGAGAAGGGAAGCGGTCATGTGTATCATACAAAACAGATGGGGCTTCCTAGCTGGCTGGGCAGTCTGGCCTCGGCCCTCAGGGCTTGCCCCATTCAGAGCCGTTTGGTGTTGTGTGGAAGCAGCTGCCCGCCTCACCCTGCCCCACTGGGGGGCTCTAGGGCGGTCAGGAAACGGCCACGCGGCCACCAGGACTTCCTCTCTCCTTCCAGATCCTACCAGACTGTTGCTGGACCACGCTCCTCATGAGACACTGGAACTCAGACCTCCTCAGCCAGTGTGAGCTGGGGCTCTTCCAAAACAGTTAACATAATTCTCCAAGAGGGAGAAGGGATTCATATAAATGTGGAGAAACACAACCACGGAAGCCTATGGCAAACCTGTTAGAAAGTGACTACCATCCAAGATGAAGGTAATCTTAAAGGCAGAGGACCAGATCTTCTCCGGTTTCTTACCTCAATGGTTAATATTTGAGATAAAAAGAAAATGAATTTGAATGGGGCAGAGAGTCCGGCCAGTGTCCCCTGGAGAAGGTCTCACCTAGCTGATTGTACAAGGTCGCGCTCACCGAGGCAGGTGGGGATTTACTCTGGGTGCGTGGCAAAGAGATCCATTTTTTTTTTAAGATATTTATTTATTTATTCATTCATTCATTTATTTGACAGAGAGAGACATAGAGAGAGAGGGAACACAAGCAGGGGGAGTGGGAGAGGGAGAAGCAGGCTTCCCGCCGAGCAGGGAGCCCGATGCGGGGCTCGATCCCAGGACCCTGGGATCATGACCTGAGCCGAAGGCAGACGCTTAACGACTGAGCCACCCAGGCACCCCAAAGAGATCCGTTTTAACACAACACTACACACCAAACCACCGCTTCCAGACAGAAGGATCCCACCTGCAGCCACTGCTCTTTCTCTTCACTCTTGTGCATTACCCGAGGCTCGCTGTGGGTGCCTAAAGCCAAAGAGGAAACTGAGAGGCAGGGGGAGGCAAAAGAAGGAAAAAGCTAAAGCAGCGTGAGCCCGCCCTGCTGTCCGTGCACTGCCACCAGCATGGCCAGCGTGGCACACCCACGGCCCGTGTCCACACGAGCACATCGTGACCTGGGGACTCTTTCTCTTCTACCTTTCCCTTTCACTCTGTTGGTTGGCTGGGTGGTGGCGTGGTCTCCTGTTCTCCTGCATCACATTAACTCAGTGGAAGGGGTTAATTTTTGGTGCTGGGGCTCTCCAAAGCACAGCCCTTTTTGACTTCCCCTCCCACACTGCTGTTTGCGCCTCAGAAGCTACAAGTGGTCCCCAGCGTTCCTTAGGGCCAAGGGCTCAATCTTCAGCAGAGGCGACTGGCGGTGTGTCCCATGCCAACTGCTCCTGAGTACGGGCACCCAAAGCTCTAAGGAGGGATGCACCCCCACGGCCTGTCTCATAAATCTGCTCACTTTAGCAGGGGCGGAAGAGGCGGCGGACAAATCAAACCTTATCCCCAGCCCCATTTTAAAATTCAGCCAGATGTACGACCTGTTTCTGCCATTCATCCTGGTTAGGAGGAGAAGATGGGAGTACATAAAAGCGTGTTTCCACAAGGAAAGCAATGTGTCCTTGTTATGCTTTTAGTTTCCTGGGAGCCTGGGGAACGACACGCCCAGGTTCTCAGGTCACCATACCCGCCCCCAACATGCTCTATACTTTCTGTTTACATTTAAGAGACCATCTAGCCCTAGGAGTGTCCAGAGCTGGAAACAGATGTGAGGATGGGGCCAGGAGACCCCGACGCAGAGCAGGGCCATGATCACCCCGATCCCCTCTCTCCTCTAGAGACAGCAGACGCCTGCTTTGCCTCTTTTCTCCGCTATAACACTTGCCCTGCCGAATGCCCCCCCCACCACTTGGCTTGGATCCCACAAAGACTTGGATCCCAAGTCTTGCTGAGGCACAGGATGCGTCTGAGGAAGAAGGACACAACCTCGCAAGTCCAGGGGGGAAAGGAGCTGGGGGCCAAGCCTGGACGGCAGAGTGGGATTCATGGACAGTCGAGAGTCCCTTCTGGGGTAGAGCCCACCGGAGGCGGGTCAGTCAAGCATCAAGACATTCAGGGCTTTGGAGAGGACCTGGCAGTCATGCGCTCCTGGTAGCCTGAGTTCGTAGCTCCAGTCGTAGATAAGTCCACAGAGGGCCCTCTGAAGGTTCAAAGAGTGACTACCCAAGATTACAAAGAATTTAAGATGAAAACTATCTGCCGATGTGCTTTTGGTTGTTTCCTACGACAAAGCCTGTACCTAACCTCATTGTCAAAATATGCTGTGGTTTCTGAGATGCATTATTTTCAGTTTCCCTTCCTCTTAGTCCATTTCTCAAGATGTTTAAGCTGTCTTGAAGTGCTTTATGGTTTATAAATCACCAAAACCGATTCAACCTTATGTGTTGATGTTTGTTTTTTTTTTTTTTAAGATTTTATTTATTTATTTGATAGAGAGAGACACAGCGAGAGCAGGAACACAGCAGGGGGAGTGGGAGAGGGAGAAGCAGGCTTCCCGCTGAGCAAGGAGCCCGATGCGGGACTCGATCCCAGGACCCTGGAATCATGACCTGAGCCGGAGGCAGACGCTCAACGACTGAGCCACCCAGGCGCCCTGTGTTGATGTTTTAATTGAAGAAGCTTTAAGATGGCCAAGAGCCAAGTTTTATGACATCTTTGTTTTCACTGAAGAAGAAGAAAGGCGTCTATTAAGTACAATAAAGCTTTAAAGACGTTGTCAAATGGTTCTAGCAGCTTATGTCTTTATTCATTTGAGAGACTGATTTGGGAATTTGTAATCCTTACTGATTACAAGTCCTTTGGAAAGAATGCATATACTGTGTATTTACAACTATACTTAAAGTCAAACCTTTGGCATTTCATACATACATAGTTATCTCCCAACGAATGCTCTGAGATTTGAACCCACGCACACTCTTTTCCAAAGGGCACGGACACCTCTGTAGATAATCACTCTCATGAGATAAAGCCAAGCGATTGGGTTTCAAACGTTGAACTCCTGTGACTTTAGACCCAGTTGGAAGTATGTGTGTCTTCAGTATGTCTTGGTCCTTTCTGTTGCTGCCTTTGAGTAGGAAAGTTGGCGTTCAAGACTGAAGCCTTCTGAGCGTTGAGGTCTGTAAACCTCGGTTTCTCCTCTCCCTTCCTCCTCCCTGCAGTGTAAAGGAATCCATATAATTGTCATCCCTGCCCAATTAACTGTAAATAAATAAATGTTCTCAGGGTCCTCCTGCAGAGTTTACTATCAAAACCATCTAATGTTGACAGATCAAGTTGGCAGATAATTACAGATACACCATATTAGCTAGCAAAGCAGTCTGAAAGAACCATTGCATGAGACAATGTTACTTTGGACACAGAACTTCGCAAGGCAGATAAAAATATTTGTTTGAGTCCCCTCAGGCTGCTACATAAGGAAACATCATAAACCGGGTGACTTGAACAACACAAACTTATTTCTCACAGTTCTGAAGGACAGAACTCCTGGCTCAGAGTACCAGCACTGTCTGGTTCTGGGGAGGGCCCTCTTCCGAGCTGTGGGCTGTTGACCTCTCTTTGTAGCCTCACACGGGCACGGTGGGAACACAGCAAGCTAGGTCTCTGCTGTTTTCTTATAAGGCACTGATCCCATTCCTGAGGGCTCCACCCTCATGACCTGATCACTTCCCAAAGGCCCCACCTCCTGAAACCATCACAATGGGCGGTTAGGATTTCAGCATCTGAATTTGGGAGGGAACATTCAGTCCATAGCAATATTTAAGCAGGTAAATTATCATCAAAGGGAAAGAGCCTCACTTTGTATAAAGGCAGATCACTTTAATTTTTTCCATGTGTAAGTGCACTATGTCCATCAGTGGTATAGATGTTTTTCACTATTTCCACACGGAACCCTGCAACAGGCCCAACGGCAGAGAGAGAGTGGCACCTAGGCAACAACCCGTCGGAAGCCAACTCTCAGTCTACACAGAAGGGGGCGCTGGGTGATACAGAAGCCATCGGTTGAGGAGTTGACTGTTTTCATTTCACTAACTCTGGTACATTGTAATGTCACAGACGCAGACCCTGAGCATCTTTTACCCATTTCTAGACATACCAGTACTTGTTATGGGTAGAAGTACAATTCTCAGTATTTCGAGATTGTGTGTATATTTCATAATCACAAGAGAGTTATGGGACAATCAGAGCCTCGTGTCCTCTCCTTGCCGGGCTTCTCCCAATAGTACCTATCCAGGAACGGAAAGGAGAGGCTCAAGTGCAAATGGAGTCACAGAGAGATAAGAAAGATGACTCGGTGCATTATATAAAGTCCATTGTTCCAATTTCTTTGTCACTGTGACTCTCCTCTCTGATAACGGACCATCCCGGTCTTAAGAGAATTAGAAAACACCCTTCTAGTGAGCCATTTATTGGAAAATCTAGGCAGCCAACCTTCTCCTGGTTAAGTTAGGCAGTCCCATTTTGCAAAGAAGGGCTAGACTGTCTCTTTGAACACCTGACTATAGGTCACATGATTGTCTGTGGCCAGGGCATTTTTCAGACACTGCCAGAAGTATGGGTGAGCCTGTGGGTTTGTTGGCCACTCAAGGACAGAGCTCTTACAGAGCCTTTTCCGGAGCTGGAGGAACTTGGATTTCTGAAGGGGTTTCTCAAGGAATATCAAGATAATGACATCCAATTTTTCATCCATGAGCCTCTGATGGGACAAGTAAAATGCTATCTTAAAGTTCTCAGTCTTTGCGTACTTGTTTGTCATCACAAACACCGTCTTTTTGCTAAGCTGTATGCTCTGGGAAAGGTTTTCCAAAACTGGCTGCCCTGGTAACCAATCCCTTTCCTCAAGACATAAATTAAAATGTTTCTCTCTCGGGTCTTCCAACTTGGCCACCAGCTCATCCAAAACCCATTCTGTCACCGCGGGATCTTTAGTGTCATACACAACAAAAGCATCATAGCAAGAATCCAGGGATGTCAGACGCCGATACCCCTTTATTTTGGCCTTACAGAAATGGTAGCTATACCACACATCCCAGAAGTAAAGGTGGTTTGCTGTTGTAATCACCATCAGAGAAAGAGCCACGGACAGGGAAAGTGAGAACAGAATCAGATTAGTCAGATCTAACTCACAGGTATACAGATCCAGAGAGACTACACTCTGGCCCTTGTGTGCTCCTGGCCCTACACAAGTCACATCCGTGGCCAAGTAAGGAATGATCACCTCTGTATGGTTAACCCACCAGACAAACCACACAGCGTCACAGGTGCACAGAAATTGATTGTGATGCAAAAGTAACATCTCCAGATTGTTGAGGACATTTTCTGGAAAGCTAGTCTTTTGGATAATCTGGATTTTATTTGAGCTGAGGTCCAGATACCGCAACTGGAAAGCATCTTGTAGAAAATACTTTGTCAGATGCCTGATTTGATTATACTTAAGAATCAGTTTCTTGAGGCTTCTGGAACAGTTGTATAATCTGTCAGGGACAGTCTTCAGCTTGTTGTGGCTGAGGTCCAAAGTTTCTAGACTCTTCAGATACTGGAGTCTTTCCCAGGTGAAGGACGTGAGCCCATTTTTGACCAAGGAGAGGGTCTTTAGATTCGGAGGCATGCCATCAAAAACTTCAGAAGGCAAGAAAGTCAGGGAATTTTCAGAGATGTCTAGTTCCTCTAGGTTCAGCAGATTCTTGAAGAATTTTAAGTATCTGTTATCACCATCTCTCCATAAAACATCCAAATGATTTCCTCTGAATTCCAGGATTCTAAGAGACTCGCTCTCCATGGTCCTGCTGGTGGAGGTAGCAATGTCATTGTTGTTCATCATCAGTTTCTTCAGAACTTTCAGATTCTTGGTAAAGTTTAACATGTGAGTAATTCCTTCTGATTGAAAGTAATGGCTGTTACTGCTAATATCTAGAACTTCCAGGTTGCGTAGCTCCTCAAATGCTGTTGAGTAGAGTAAATCAAGCCGGTTGTTCGAGAAGTCCAAGTATTTCAAGTCCACTAAAGGCTGAAATTCACTGCCATTGAGAGTTTGGCCAATGGTATTTCCTGACAAATTTAGGCATTTGAGGAAAGAAAGATGCCGAAAATCAGAGGACTTGATAAAAAATATATTGTTTCTACTTAGGTCCAAGGTCTGCCCATATCTGTAACAATCTTTATTAAAAGGCAAGAAAGAAGGAGTCTCTTTGTTTTTGAACCTGCAACTCCTTGCGTACTCGTCATATCTGAAATAATGTAATGTTTCGAGGACCTGAGGAGCATGACCTTCTACAGAAGTTCTGGTGCTAGAGCAGAAGCCAACTTCACTTGAATCCCCTGAAGGTGATATTTTATTCATTGAAAGATCTATTACTTTCAATGTTTTGAATTGTTCAAATAGGCTGAGGTCTGCAATTTTTATGAAGTTAGTGCCGAGATCAAGAACTTCAAGATTGGAAAGACTCCATAACGGGGACAGATTATGGCTGCTCAGCTCCTTAAAAACGTATCCTTTGATTCGCAACACTTTCAGATTTTTCAGTGAAGAAAATGCATCTGACAGATTCAGAGCTGCACGATAGACCTGAAGTTCATAATTGAAAGACAGATCCAACTGGACAAGGTCGTGAAGAAGATACAAAAATTTGGCATCCTCAATTTCTTTGGCCAAGAAGTTTTGGGAAAGATCTAGCTCCTTCAGTTTTTTAATGTTTTTAAACCATCTTTGGGGCACATGCTGAAGAGAGTTACTGTGCAGACGTAACACTTGTAATTCTGTCAGTGCATCGAATGCCGACGGGTGGATCTGTAGGGGAGAATTATTTTCACAGGGCGTACAAGGAAATGGGACATTGTAACAACGAGGGCAATTTCCACTTAGGTCAAGAAGCTGCAGTTGATGGAGGTTATTAAAGTCCTCTTCTTGGATTTTTGCAATGGCGTTGTTATAAAGATAGAGTTCTGTTAAAGTAGATGGCAAAGTAGTAGGGACATATGTGATATTGTTATCTTTTAGGGAGAGCAATTTTAGATTTTTCAGACTTAGGAAAGCATCTTTTTCGATGAAAAACGAAACGTTACAAGGGTTGCGAAAATAGCAGTTTTGGCCCAAGTAGAGCTTTTCTATATTGGTCAGTTCTGTTAGGTTATTTTTCATGATAGAATAGATACTGTTGGCCTCAAGGCTCAGCAGCTGCAGGTTGGGAGGAAGACCCTCAGGTATTTCTAGAAGCTGGTTTCCATCCAGATAAAGGGATTTCAAATAAGTGAGTCTACTAAAGCTTCTGGGTTTAATCTGTGGCCTCCTGGTGCACAGATGGTCTTTGGGCCCTAGTCGAATAGGTATACAGTTGCATCTGAAATCGATCTCTACCAGATAGTCCAGCTGGTGGAAGGAGGCTGGAGAGATGCTGGGTATGTGGTTAATGGTGAGGGTGAGGTTGGTGGCATTGGTGGGAATACCTCCAGGGATTTCTGTCAAATGCTTGTCCGTGCAGTCCACGATCACATGGGCCTTTGGAACATCCAGACTGACATCACAGGGCAGAGTTTTAGGAAACCATCTAGCTCCAAGGAGTTTGGAAATTAGGATTATGTTTAAAAAGATAAGTAACTGTCTCTTCAATGTCCACATTGGAAACACCTGAAAGCATAAGAAAGACCAAATCATCATCATTCAAAGTCATTCTAAAATATACCAAGAATCAGATTTGAAATTTCCCATCTGCTGCCTCTCTTTTGCTACAGTTTAAAGTAAACAACCCAGGTCTTATTCTCAATTGCCTAAACGGCATCTCCCCACCCCCCATGACTGTACTTGCCCTACTACGGAGGTTCATAATAATTGAGTTACACATTTAGCTTTTAGCACGTTAGCTTTTTGATTCCATAGCTTTGAAGGTGGTAGAAGCAGCATTTTCCTATTCACTGTTATTTAAAATAGTACAACAGAGGAGCTATCAACTAGCTGCCGAAGTCTGAAATTTGCAGGTGAAGGAATATTAAAACAAAAATATATTGGGAAGAATGACACATTTTAAGACTTTAGTGCAGGGCACCTGGGTGGCTCAGGGGGTTGAGCGTCAGCCTTCAGCTGGTTGTGATCCCAGGGTCCTGCGATCGAGCCCCACATCAGGCTCTGTCTTCAGCGGAGAGCCCGCTTCTCCCTCTCCCTCTGCCCCTCCCCCTGCTTGTGCACACGCTCTCTCTCAAATAAATAAATAAAATCTTAAAAAAAAAAAAGACTTTAGTGCAGTTACTGTTTGCTTGCTAATAAGCCTGCTCTTTTACAAAAGGCTTTCACAATATTCAAGCTTCTTAATATTCTAAGTAGAAAAATTAAGAGATCCATTATCCCCATCTTATAGATGAAGACCTAGCTCAGCAATATATAGTAGCTGATTTGCCCCAGGACACTCAACTCCCATTTTGGCACTGCCATTTTGTGAGCTTGTTTTCCTCTTGGATTGTTTTTGGAAATCCAAGATGATTTGAGGACGAACGCTTCCCCTACACATTGGCTTTACATTACGTACATTTTGGAGAGAGCAGAGAGTCAGGGCATTGCCTCAGTGTGTCCTGATTGATCGACGACGATACTTATGGGAGTGAAAGAAGGGGGACCTAGTAATAACAATGCTAAGACTATAGGCAGAAAACCAAGACTCTCTCAGGCAAACTGGGACATATAGAAACCTACCCATAATGGTGGTTCTTGGGCAACCAGGTTTAGCATCAGAGACAATGAGACCCTGGGGAGAAAGACCTTAGAAGGTGGTATGCGGAGTACTGAAGAGCTTTGCTAGTCACCATATTAACTTGAACTGGCCCTGCCTTAGAGGCTGGTTTCACCAGGGACTTGCCCTCAAGTTTCAGGATTTCTATCAGTATTTTACTCCAGAACACTGGTTTTAGTTTAACTGGTGCTAATCCATGGAATGATCTAGCCTGTGTCTCTACAACAAGCTTCTAGATCAATTAATGTTTTTGTCATCCCAACTGACTGAATCAGCCAATTGTGTTGATATCTAATAAACCAAATGCCTACTTTCCTTAATTCCTCTAATAGAAAGGTAAATAAGCAAATTTTCCCTCAGCTTTCTTTTTCTCTAATGCAAGATGGTTCAGAAGGATCTCAAGAGCTTCTTCATACATCTTTATGTGCCTAAAGTTTGTTGAGATTAGAAGGGCAACACTGTCTTTTTCTTTTTTTTCTCTTTCACCACCTTGTCTTCTCCTCGTCATCAAAACCATTCACTGAGTCCAGCTGACATTCTTCATTGACCATCCTGACATCCTCCTTGCTTTGCCATTTTAGCTGACACCATTTCAGCTGAGATGATTGCACCCTCGATCCGCTCTAAAACCTCATCCTTGTCTTCAGGCTCTCACTCTTCGAATGCACCCGAACCAGTAAACTTCCCAAACATTAATCAGATGACATTACTCTGAAGTCTTTAAAATGATTTTTTTCTTTTTTTTAAAAGAATGAGCCCTAACTTTTTTTTTAAGATTTTTTTTATTTATTTATTTGAGAGAGAGAATGAGATAGAGAGAGAGAGAGAGAGCAAGAGAGGGGGGAGGTTCAGGGGGAGAAGCAGACCCCCCCACTGAGCAGGGAGCTCGATGCAGGACTCAATCCCGGGGCTCCAGGATCATGACCTGAGCCGAAGGCAGACGCTTAACCATCTGAGCCACCCAGGCGCCCGAGCCCTAACTTTTTATCATGGCATCCAAAGTCTTCCATACTTTGTCCCCTATCTACTTGTCCAGGCTTCCCTGATACACTGCCCCTACCAGCTTCTCTAGTCACTAACCCAAGCCCAGTTTGCAGTTCCCTTACTTGCAAGTCCTTTTACCGGGACTACTCTTTTCTGCCATTTCCACCCACCAGAATTCTAGTTATGCTTTAAGGCTTTACCTCCCAATCTAGAGCATTCAGATCCCTGGGAAGATACGGCACTAGGTCAGGGTGTACAGGAGGCCCTTAGATAAATATGGTCTATCTCCCTTGAGCATCAACTTTACTCAAAGATTTAGGAGAAAAAGGGGCGCCTGGGTGGCTCAGTTGGTTAGGCGTCTGCCTTTGCCTCACGTCATGGTCCCAGGGTCCTGGGATCGGGCCCCACATCGGGCTCCCTGCTCAGCGGGAAGCCTGCTTCTCCCTCTCCCACTCCCCCTGCTTGTGTTCCCTCTCTCGCTGTGTCTCTCTCTGTCAAATAAATTAATTTAAAAGAAAAAAAAAAGATTCAGGAGAAATGTTCATCACTCAGGGAAGAGGGGTTGAGCCAAGATGGAAAAAGGAGAGAAGTAGAGTGAGCTATTTTTATGGTCCCTGATTATAGGATCCCAGACCCTGGACCCCATCTCCAGCTATGCTTCTGTCAGAGGACATGATGGGTTCATGAATCCCAGTATCAAAAGGTAATAAGGAATGCTGCTAAGGGTGTTACTGTGGACCTGGGAGGTGTGCTGTACTCCAAAGGGGGGCCAAATAAATAAAGGACAAATTGTGAACCAGGGGCCCTCTTCTGATCCCACTCCCACGAACCTAGATGAGCTCCTGGGAAGAACTGGGAGGATCCCTGAATTAGCGGAGGTAAAAACACGAAGTGACAGCAATCACCACACAGAGTTTCCAGAATAGTTTAAGTATTTCTATGATGGGGGGAAATAGATGCTCTAAGATGAAGGCAGTTCAGTTATTGAAAAAATAACAGCGGTGTGTTAGTAAATGTTTAACAACCGGCTGTCCTCCCCCAACCCACATCTCTGATTCGTGAAGTCCTGATTTATAGCATCTGCCAGTTCCTATAGTGTGCACTGCCATTGTGATGTCACTGAATGCAGAGGTGGGGAGAGACGTGCAGAACTGCTCTGGCAAGCCTGTAGGAGCTGGGTCCAGCAAACCCTGCCCGTTAACACACCTGCGACAATGACTGTGAAATTTTTAGCCTCTACATATGGACATAGTATGAACTAGAAGGAAAAATTAATCAGAAAGCCTTTTTTTCTCCCTTATTTCTAAACTTTGTCTGGCACCTGTCCACCTTTCCCCTTGTCTACTAGCACCTCCTTCCTGCCATTAGCCATCAGGTCTTACCTGGACTACCGCAAGAGACTCCTAACTGGTCCACCCAATTCTCCTTCTCCTCTACAATTCATTCATCAAATGGCATGAGAATAGTCTTTATAAACATGAATCACACCAACTGCAATGACTTCCTATTACACTTTGAATCTTTACTATTGCTTATATCATGCATGTTCGGACTCAAGCCTAGTTTCATGACCTTGAACCATCCTTCTCCTACTTTGACCACATGCCAGACATCTGGCCTGTTTTCTGTTCTGCATTCGAGCCAGTCTTAGCACTTGCTGTTCCCTCTTCCTGAAATTATCTCTCTCCTCCTCTTCCCGTAGCCAGGTCATTCTCATCCCCAAGGTGTCAGCACAAACAACACATATTCGGACAGACCTTCTCTGGCCAACTCATCCAATACCCTCCCATGTAATACTAGTGATAGTGACAGTAGCATTTGTTAACTTAGGTAGCACTTGCTATATTCTGAGCATCATTTTCAGTGTTTAAATATATTAACTCATTCAATCCTCTTAATAACCACATGTGAGTGGTACTACAGATCCTCAATCCTTTCCCAAAACCTTTGGGGCTAGATGTGTTTTGGAACTAAGAATTTTTCAGATCTTAGAAGGTAATATGATATATGTATCCACATATTATATAATATCCTTACTGGGGCCCAGGGCAGCATCCCATAATCAAACACACAAAAATTTGTGCAGTGAAACAAAGAATTCTCCACACTAAGTGAGGAAAGAAGGGAGAGAGGGAAATCAAGAAAAGCAAGCACGCAAGCACGCAAGCACCCAAGCAAGAAAAGAACTAGCTTGTTCAGTTCAGATCAAGATTCACCTCCGAATGAATTCAGGTCATGTGTTTGCCATCGACCGAGTTAGGACAAAGCTTTCAGGCTGGGGATTTTGGAACTGTGGACCTCTATTATTAATTTCCATTTTACAGATGAGTCCACTGAGGTACAGAGAGGTATATGTACTCTGTACTAGATCACTCTGCTTTATTTCCTTCATGGCCCTTAGCACCATCAGAAATTATCTTGCCAGTAGTTTACGTGCTTATGAGTTGTGTGCTTATTTGTTTTTTGTTGTTGTTGTTGTTTTTCTTTAAAGATTTTATTTATTTATTTGACAGAGAGAGACACAGCGAGAGAGGGAACACAAGCAGGGGGAGTGGGAGAGGGAGAAGCAGGCTTCCCGCCGAGCAGGGAGCCCGATGCGGGGCTCGATCCCAGGACCCTGGGACCATGACCTGAGCCGAAGGCAGACGCTTAACGACTGAGCCACCCAGGCGCCCCGTGTGTGCTTATTTGTTTAATGTCTACCCTGCATGAGAAGATAAGCTCTGAGACAGCAGGGCTTTGTGTGTCCTTGTGTAAAACAATGCCCGGCAGTTAATTCGTGTTGTATTATGTTTGCTAAATACATGACTAGAAGAATGAATGTGTGCATGAATGAAATAAAGCAAAATACTTCCAACAAATTTCTCCTTGGAGTAGATCGCTTTAGGCTACAGCCCCCGTACTTGCCGAGAGATAACATTCT